CGTGTTTTGCAACAATAAAATAGCTGAGCTCGTAAATAAATGTTATTATATTGTATAATAGTGTACTCTGGGCCTAGACGGTGATAACCTTATTCATATCTCATATAATAAAGCGGTTATTCTACAATCAAATTAGTGGATCATACCCACACTTGATAACACATTTAGAGGGCTTCAGTAACATTATAACTTTATAAATACAATTATCTTGTTATGCAGCAGGTTAACAATATTGAATATTCACATCTGTGACCATGTGATCAGGTGACCATGTGCCGAGGTGATCACTGATCAGGGGTTATTCAGATATCAAGGATATGTGAGATATAAGCGTGAGTGCAAACATTGATATATTATTATTAATCGTCAGCTGACGCTGACTGACCAGCGCAATATATTTGCAATATTTCTTGTCAGCTTAACGGGTGATACTCGTAAAATTAGAAATATTATTTCAAATCCAAGTCCAACTCGGTGCGCATATATTTGTAAAGGTACGGTTATAAACCTACATTTACAATCGTTAGCTAGCGTTGGCTTACTAGCTGGGCGGAGCTCAACTTACTGGCCATCGCAGAAAACAGTCCGATAACTAGCGCTGGATAGCGACAACTAGCGCTGGATGGCGACAAGTAGCGCTGGATAGCGACAACTAGCGCTGGTAGGCGACAAGTAGCGCTGGATAGCGCTAGTTGTCGCCATCCAGCGCTAGTTGTCGCGTTTTGACTATCGCAAAAGAACCCATGTGTCTAACTAATATGTGTCGTGTCTTGATACCTTAGTTTAAATCAAACGTCAAGTTTCGGGAGTTAAACAAACCAAATCTACATTATTTAAGAGTAATATCAGTTATCACCACAGTGTTCCTTGTTAAGTTGTTAAAGCATCAGAGTTTTGATACTTCGATACTTTGATAGATACGAAGTGGAGATAGAGAAATAAGAGAAATTAGAGATGTTTTAACAAGATAACGATATTCCTCATTCGAACCTTAAAATACCAATAGCTGGAACTATTGGCTATCGTGAAGTATTTGTTTCCTCTTCTGATGTTGTAAAATTCTGAGAAGTTTCCGTGTATAACTATTATAAGTAATCCCAGTAATCTTCTTGGAGCACCATTACCAACTAAACGTATGCAAGTTTGTCTAGATTAGAGCAGAGAGAAGGTCTAGTTCCACACCATAGCGTAATTTAGGTTAGTGAGGTATTTAAATATGTTTATATTATATTATATATTCCATAAATTATATGCTATGCAGTACACGTGCGGCTAATACCATGAAAATGTGATCTTTAATTTCCATCCTTTGCTTATTAAAGTAGTACTGCTAGTTTAATATCTGTGCACTAAAGAAACCACGCTCCAAAAAACCTGGCAGCTTTACCGTTTGGATAACTAATGTAATCAACAATTGACGTAATGATGCAAATTACAGTAATCAGTATGTCAATCCCATGTCAATTATCTTACCTAAATATGTGAGCAGTAGTTGTTATAACGAGATAACAGTAAGTGGTTACAAGTTGGTGATTTAACTTGAGATATTGGATAAATGCGGAACTTTTGGCGGCAATATAAGAAGATAAAAGAAGTTCATCATTCTATTGTTCTATTTTACTTCTACGAATTACAAAGTCAGTACCAAGTGAGCGTGGTGCCAATTTGGTGCGTAGACATTCAGAAAGTTTCTATTCTATTATTAGAACACAAATGACCTAAATATATCCTATATTCTATAATTAACAAACAAATGGCCTTGATATTTCCTATATCGTATATAATTATCAAACAAATAGCCCTTGTACATTATATTGCACAATAAGCCGGATATCAGTACTTTTGGGAATACTTTCAAATTTAAATACTTTACACTTTTGGCAGTAGAAAGATAATCAGTGTCCACATTGTACTAGTAATACAGAGCTCGGTCCCTGTTTGAACTGTTTCCCTGCCACAATCCAACGTTACATTGGTGCATTTTTACATCAGGTAAAGTTGATAAAATGAGAGGTTTCAGTGTAAATTCCAAAATCATAATATTACAGTTAGTTGAAGGATTTCCAGAGGATCTGCGCTAAATTTAGTGGACACAGCTTCAACTAACATGGGTATTATTACTGAGGGGGAGGTAGTCTGGACTGGGGGGGGGGGGGGGGGGGGGAGGTAGTCTGGACATTAAACAGGTGACGATAATAACAACTTGAACCGTTAAGCTTAATGATACAGCACCAGAGTCCCAGTAAATCAGTAAGCGGTTTCAAGATGATATTATCACATGTTTAACTTACAAATTACAATATACATATCAGATTAAGTTACATGTCAGTACCACTTCCGGGGTTGATATTTAATACTCTTATACACGTGACTGGAAAGATGCCAATAAAGTGCAAATAGAACTTCTCTTTTTACAGTGATACTAGGGTTATTGCTACATTTGATGGATAAAGAAACAGTTTGATCAAAAAAAAAGGAAATTTGTTACTTTTTGAGTTGTTCCGATACAGTTCTAGATAATATATTTCTGTAAAAAGTACAACTACATTATACATTTGAATACACATAGTGATCCTAGTAAAAGTATTATAGAGTAAAGGATTTACAATGTATGTACATTGTACAACTACATACCATGGCGGCCACAGGCCAATGGCCATGTTGCATACCAAACCAACGGGCAACGGTGTAATATGAAATCTAGGTTCATTGTACATGATGGGTTAGAGTCTTACGCCGTAGAGACTTACGCCGTAGAGTCTTACGCCGTAGAGTCTTACGCCGTAGAGTCTTACGCCGTAGAGTCTTACGCCGTAGAGTCTTACGCCGTAGAGTCTTATTCCGTAGAGTCTTACGCCGTAGAGTCCCGGACCCATGCACAACGTGTGCATGCTTCTCGAATTAACTTTTTAAATAATTAAATTCCTTTTGCCAATTACGGAGTATTCAATTTTGTGCACTGTTCACCGAATTTAAATGTAAAACAACCGTTTTATTCCTCATAACACAGATAAGAGTACAAAATATGTTATGAAAGTATGAATCACATGTGATTATGAAGGTACGCGTCACATGGAATAACGAATATCACGTGGTACGAATATTTGGCAACTAACAAGTGCTGTGCTGTGCTGACACTATCAACTAGACTTAGTACACTGCACGGTAGACTTTCTATGTGGGAGTGAGGAGGCTGTGTGAATCATTATAACTATAACAGCTATTTTATTATAACTGTAACAGTTGCAACTTGCAAGTAGGTAGTGATAGTAGCTTCATCACGCTGTGATTACTAGAATTAGAAGTGGTATCCGATTAGTAGGATGATAGAAGAAGTGGTGTAAACTGTAAAGACGGAGGATGAGAGGAAATGTTTTGTCTGCAGAGAAGAGGTTTTTTAAATAGATTGGGTTCGCGGAGGCCTACAATTATTACAAAAATAGGTTTACAAAATAGGTGAAAGTTCCCGTATTATAAAATGTAAATCAGGGCTAAGTGACTGATCAATATAAACTTTGAGTAATAAGGGGAGGAATTGAACATGGCCCGCGCCGGGTGTTTTTATAGCAAAGTACATACATTATAAAAGTTGATATATATTTAGATTTAGCTAGATAAGGCTTGTAAGGACGCTTGTACGGCAAAATGTTGACTAGCGACTTCCGATACTTGTTGAAATCTGACACCATTATCAACCAGCATAATAACAAGTGATGTAGTAGATTAGCACACCTGGACTCAAAACCACAAATTTGCGTGTAACTCTGTATAGTACACTGGTTAAATTATGTTTTTTTTGTTGCTTTTTCAGCGATTGTGTGGTCAAGGAAAAGTGTGTAGGATATTTGATGTTTATATTAGTTTATAGGGACAGTTTCGATTTTTGTTCACTGCAACTTTTATTTTTTATAGGAGTAAAAAAAAGAGTTATCTGACGGAAACCGTTATGTTTAAATCAAACTTAAATGAAGAAACAACAACACAGTTTTTAATGGTATATTTAGCTACAAAATAAATTGTACTGAAAACAAGAATGAAACGAACACGACAATTAATATATCATTGTCACAGGAAAACTAATCATCCGATCAGGAACTTAAAAAAACGAGAGACTAAGTTATCAAACAGCAACTTTGGGAAGATTGCTTTAAATATCATGGAATATCTCCTATCAATTAGATAGGTAATCATTTATCGCCGAATTGATGGAACTTTATTAAACTGAATGCATTGAATTATTTTAGGAAACCTATTAATATAAATGCTCGAACCAAGGACTCTCCTATAGGAAGTATATTGATATCCACAAGTAATCAACATCCTTAGCAGGAGTGAAGGTCCATGTCTCTGAGTTTAGAACACTGCTGTAGGACACAGGTAACTACAGGTAACTACAGGTAACCACAGGTAACCACAGGTAACCACAGGTAACCACAGGTAGTGCAGGTAACTACAGGTAACCACAAGTAACCACGGGTAACCACAGGTAACCACAGGTATCTACAGGTAACCACAGGTAACTACAGGTAACCACAGGTAACTACAGGTAACTACAGGTAACTACAGATTAAACCACATGTAACTACATGTAACCACAGGTAACTACAGGTAACCACAGGAAACTACAGGTAACCACAGGTAACCACAGGTAACCACAGGTAACCACAGGTAACCACAGGTAACTACAAATAACTACAGGTAAGCACAGGTAACCACAGGTAACCACAAGTAACCACAGGTAACCACAGGTAACTACAGGTAACCACAGGTAACCACAGGTAACCACAGGTAACCACAGGTAACTACAGGTAACCACAGGTAACTAAAGCTTCCAGACTCTCGAGATCTGGTGCAGACCTATCACATGTATCATAATTATTATGGTTAGTGTTTTTATTGTAATAAACATATTGTGAGCTAGCAGGAGTTCGGTGATGAGGCCGAAGACTTAATCCTAGGCCAAAAGCCGACAACTATTAAAGAAGAAGAAGAAGAAAATGCACACAGATTTTATTGGTCAACTTATTAAATCAAATACACACAGAATTAAGGGCGACTGGAATACAATGCACAAAATATTTCATCGCAAGTTAAAACGAAACAATCAAATTGAATCACGTCCAACCAGACGGCAATTGTGAACTTCTAATATCTTGATTCTTGATCCTTCCCAGAGGTATTGCAACTAAAAATGTCGCTCTCATTTATATTTATTAACTGGTTAATATAAATTTATCAAAAATCAACTACCAAAATAATGCTAAAATATTTAACTAAATCTACTTTACAGTATTCCAAAATTATCAAAGTTATGCAAACAAGTTTAATGCAAAAATGTGATCACTTTTACATAACGTGAACATAAAGCACTGTGAAACATCAAATCCAATCAAAGTTTTTCAAACGATCACACACGCAAACAACAGCTGCACTCTTAAAACTAAGATTGTGCACATTCCAACCGAAAGTATTTGAATTTATCCGATGTTGTAAAAATTGCCCCTGTACTGTCCACTTGCCCGGCTTTTTTCACTGGTCACTGACACACTATCGCTATCATCTTGAACCGTTTCGTCTGTAAAATACCAAACCTCAACTGTAAGAACATTGAAGGATGACTCTGAGCTTAGTGTATCGTTGTGGAATGTCAAGGACCGATTACTGGTTCCTTTTTCAAGCATCTCGTCTAGATAAAGAGCAAAGTTACCATCTCCAGCCCCTACAGTGAAATACTCGTGTGTTCCCATCATGAAATAATGGTTGGAACCCTGCCAGAAGTAGCATTTCTCGTCAGGGGACAGTCTGAAGAGGAATGTCTCACCAGAGCCGTAATATTTGGGAGATTGAATGATTCCCTCGGAGAGATACGCCCCAAACACATACTGCCGTGTATCCTTTATCAGCAAGATACAGGGTAAATCCTGATAAGGCTCACAGTGGTTGTACAAAGACCGTAGTGACATCCCGTGAACCTTCAGGCTGTAAGCTAGGAGCATGTCTATTCCAATGATGTGACAGGGAAGATACGGCTGCAACTGACCCATCATATCTTCCGTTAAAAGAACTGATTTTCCGGCCGGATAATTCAGTGTCCCTGAAAAAGGCTCGCTCATCAGATCGGAGTCTACTTCCCGAGGGACAAACTGAGGCGTGCGATCTGGAAGAGTTGCATCTGCAAGGCTGGTCCAGTAGTCCTCGTCACATTTCATCAGACAGTTGGAAGTGTCGTCCATTGGTGATAGGTGAGGACACAACTGGTAGAAATTGTTCATTAACTCAGATACATCCTCCTCTGGAACACACACCCAGAAGTGTGCCTTGCTGTAACCTTCCTCTGTCTCGAACTGATATGAAGGCTTTCCATGGGTCCTGGTGCAGCAAATTGCGTGAAGGGAAATGAAGATCGAGTACTCGTGTTTATTTGCATTCTCCATAAGAGTTTGCATCTGATTTGTGTTCTCATCAATTTTCTCAAAGAATGCTTTTGTGGCTAGTGTTGTGTCGGAATCAATTCTATTAATCCTCCCTTCTGGGACATAAGCAGTAGTGTTGAGTGGATCGAAATTTGAATTGAAGTTCGGGATGAGAATTTTGTTGTCTTCGCCACCAATGGAAAATGGATTGACCCGTTTGCTGGCAGAGTATCGCCTGGACGCAAAACCCTCAAACTCATGCTCACAGGCAAAACCCTCAAACTCATGCTTACATGTTGGAGAGTATATGACTGGTGATTGAACAACTGGAGAGTGCCCTAGCTCAATCTCCCCGGAGGACAGCTCCAGAAAATCTGTGATGGCATGACCTACTTCTGGAGTGGCTGACCCCACGGACCCATGACCAAAATCATTATTTGGATCAATGATTTTGATTCTAAGCGCCTCCTCTAAATTGTCCTCCTCTAAGCTGACCTCCATGCGAATGTTCTCTTCACCAGACTGGACAGGTGTACCATGACAGAGCTGATATTTAAGTTCTGTGCACTTCTCACAAGCGTTCTCCACACCAGTGGTGGATTGGATGTTCCCGAGCAATCTCTCAAAAGACTCAAACATGAGTATTTCACAGATTGAGTCAAGAGGGATGCTAACGTTGTAATTGTTCTGACCGTTTTGTATAACCAGTTTATCTGAAACATGGGCACGAAACATGAAAGCGTTTGAAGTCATGAGAGTAGTTCCTCCAACTGAACCATCAAACCTTGTGATCCTCTTCATTGGGTATTTGAAAATTGACTTCTTTGGTGAGGGTGGTATTTTTTGATCAACAGGATGCAAAGGTGTTTCCGCCACAACAGTTTCATTGCTTTGGAAAATTCTGGGTACAAGAACGCTTTGACCAGGGAAAATGAAGTCTGAAGTAAGTGCATTGAGCTGTTTCAGCATATTTGGAGATACATTGAACTTCAATGCAATAGTATTGAGAGTTTCATTGTCACTCACAAGATAGCTAACGCTACCTTCCCTAGATTTTTGCTTTTTCGCCTGTCTCATATTCTGATCCTTTTTAGGCTCATTTGCATTGCCATCCTCCATAATGTCGTGGTGATACAATGGCGAGTCCTTATCGTTAAAAAAGTCGTCCAATACTGAATAATCCCGGTCTTTATTCCTGGGAGTCAGATTCAAAACTTTGAGATCAGCTTGGTTTGACTCCACATCACATTCCGATTCTGAACTTTCATAATCTGTTACAGGGGGTGTGGGGACAGCTGGTGAGTCGTGTTCGTAGTCATCAAATCCCGGGAGATCTGTGTCCAGCTTCCTTAATTCTCTCTGAGAATATAAAGTATTAAAGTGAGACCAAATTAAAAAGGGTAGTTTGCTGAGTGCTGGGATATGTTAGAGGAAAACTCTTGACTAACACACTTTTCATGATTATTACATGTTACAGATTATGAACCATTGAACATTATAGATATTATAATTAGCAGTTTTCAGTATGTGTAAACTCTAGATATATACGATGATAGCCAAAAAACAAATAAATCAGTCTTAGTGTTCTAATTTTTAATGATTGTAGAGAAGAACCATTTATCAACAGACAAAAATTGCAATATTCTAGCACTGCAGTAGTCATATTATAATTAATGACGCACCTTGCATGCGCATGCTATAATCATATTAACTTTCCTTGTTAATATACATTTCTGTCTGTTTAGCTTTTTGGTACTGGGTATAATTTGAGTATCATAATAAGGCGACTTGAGCCCTTTTTTGTCTGAATTGTGTACGTCTGAAGTCTGAGTGTTCTTGAGTGGGTCTGATGGTTCTCCATCTTGATCGGTAAAAGTCGCATTTTCAGAACTGTCAGTATTTGTATGTTTCTGATTGTTGAATTTTATTGAGTCAGAGTATTTTTAACTTATGGTATTTCTAATTCTATAAGAAAAAGTATATAAAAGTTGACACTTGATAATCTTGTATTTCATTGACATACATTATTAAAACAAAAATTGCCAGAACTTGACACTGATAGATTACCCTATCATCAATTATGGAGTTTATGTTAGATTCATCCTCAGCCACTGTTAAAATCTCAAAGAGATCATCATCTAAACTGTCCACATTACTCAGCTGACAGTAATACAAAATAATATTATTAGGTCAGATAGTATAGCTAAACCTTTCAGTTAGATTTTTGAACAGCCTAGTACAGTATTTGAACAATGAGCATATTATGACATATATTTTTAACAGGAACATTTGAAACTTCATTTGTCCAACTACAAAGTGACTGACATAGTGGTGACATAACATAAATGAACATGGCAAACCTCAAGTTCGTTGTAATCTGAAACATCAATGTTGAAGATGTACGTTTTGATGGAGTCAAGTAGGCCGGAAGCTGGATGTAGAGAATTAGCAGTTTCCTGGGACATGGTGCTCTACAATCATGTCTGGTATTTCATTCAATAACCTAGTGAAAGTGATGTTTTAAAGTTAACAACAGTTGCATATGCGTATTAAAGGTCAAAGGATGATAACCGGCAAAATGTGAGAAACCTTTTTTTCATGGACACTCTCCTAGAACCGACCCCAGGAGACACATCTTTCGCCCACACATCTCTCTCTCAGAATGGGTGTAAACAAAGCCAAATTATCGTATTTATATAAAAGTAACAATAAACCTATTGCCTTTTAACCGTTACCTCCAGATAAGAAAAAATAACGACAACTAACACATTTCTTCGAAATCAAATGATTATTTTTCATTAATTCTGAAAAATTATTTTTCATATTCACATTCATGACAAAATGAAGTTAATTGATCAATTGTGTTACGAAGATCCTACAGACTGTATAGTAGATGGACAATTTTAATACTTTCAACACTACTATATAACAAATAATTTCAGGTATGGCTACCGATGAGTAATCCGTTGGAGTAAAGTCTGCCGGTGTCCTGGGTGTGATGGATCTGAGTTAGATGGCAGGTTGTGGAGGTGGTAACCGTTTCTTCCTATTGCCCTGGTAGTCTTGTACTACCAGGGCTCCTGCGGTCTGGTACGAGGTTAGTTTTATTGTTAGAGATCTAGTGATGTTTGAAATTTATTAACTCCTTTTAGCTACTTCTCCTTTAGATAAGTATTGCATTCTTTTTTCTGCTATACAGTTCTTTACAACACCTCTGTTCATTATAATTCAAATTTTTTTCACTCGGAACTATAAATCTCTGGCCTATTAACTGTTTCAGATCCAGATTGCTAGGGTTTACAACGGTGCACTGAAACATCCTGCTGTTGATCTCTTATCTGGATCACCCAGTCTCCTCCCGATCCTCCCACACTTCACAACAAGATGCCAATACTGCCCGCCAACTTCCTCGCCTTACTGCAAAACTTATCTCTTGAAGTAAAGCAACACATGCATACCCTCCTTACTCAGAGTATCCTGGACAGTCTGAAAGAGAAAAAGCTTGCTTCTAAAATAGAACGTATAGATGAAAAGAAGAAGGAAAAGAAAACGAAGAAGGAAACTACTGTTCAAAATGTCTCGTATAGCCCACATACGCTCGTAGAGCACGTTCCAGTTCTCCCTGGAATGGATGAAAATCTATTCCAGAAAATCACAGAAGAATTAGATTCAATGAATCTTGAAGGCAAATCTAATAAAGTCCACACCCTATGGCTAAGCCCTTCATCAGAAGACTACTGCTTTGGTAACATAGTCAACAAGCCACATCCCATCAACAACTTCCCTAGCATCTTTAAGTTGATGGGACTTATTAATGACCTCCCCTCCACCACCAACAACATGGATGCTTGCCTTGTTACTAGGTACGACACTCAGCAAGCTAAGTTAAGCCTCCATAAAGACGATGAAGACCTAATAATATCACCGTCCAGCTCCATTTGCACTTACTCAATAGGGGCTCCGCGGTCACTTGAGTTTGTGCTCGATACAACCCAAGTAGAACAACGCACAACTAGGGCCTCTAGGTCAAGGCCAGCCCAAGAGTTGATTAACGCAGACTTCACCCTTCCTGCCACCAATGGCACACTGAACATCATGAAGCCTGGTGCACAGCAAGTCATGAGGCACAGGATTGCCCCAGGAGTTGCACCTTCTGACAATGAAATTTGTTGGAGGTATAGTCTCTCCTTCAGAAATTTAACCACACCTTCCTCTTCCCCTTCATCTCCTATTCTTCCCTCTCCTACATCCGACAGTCCTAATAAGGTACCCCCAAAAGCTCCCATCACAGGCTCTCAAAAACACCAGAAGTCTATCATCCTCATTGCTGGTGACTCCTTTGCTGCTCGATTGGACGCTGATCGCCTCAGTAGAGGTAAAGAAACTGTCACCAATATAGCTAAGGGTGGGCTTAAGATCTCAGCTATACAGAAATCTATTGAGGCCTTTCATACAAAGAACCCTCTTGTGCAGGTAAAGAAACTGTTCTTAAGCTTCGGTGCCAACGACATCCGGTACTGTACCCAGGGTGTCAATCATCTCAAGACCCCTGTGAGTGACCTTATGAAGACAGCAAAAAAACTTTATCCAAATGCACGTGTTTTTGTACAAGCTATTCCACCAGTCCACCCCAACGGACAAGATAAAATCCCTGGTAATGTTTGTGCTATGAATAATTTGATCTTTGATCGCTGCTCTAGGCATAAACTGTTTTACCTTGATGTTTTTTGGGCTTTCTTAGACCGCTATGGAAACAGAAACGAGAGATTATTTCCTAAATGTGACAAAAGGGGCTTTTATGATATTCATCCCAGCCCAAAGGCTGGGATGCCAGTGTTGGCAAAGTTCTATCTCAGAATCATACACTCAAAGTGGTTTAATCCATTGGGATACTGATGTGGTAATTCAATTCAATATTTAAATTTTTCATTGTCTGCATCAGTATCCTATTGGATCTGATCATTTGGATGTTATTTATATGTATTCAAACGAAGTGATAGCATAATGTATGTTACTTCATATTATAGCACAATACCTAACAAAACACAACGGCGAGACACAATTCTGTTAATAATATACTTTAAAGTTCCATGGGAATATCGGCTCAACAACACCGTGTTGCAACTGGTATGTTTTCTAGGTATGTTATCATCAGTAAAAGTAATAGAGGTAACGGGGAAAATTTGTTGTCCTGTCTTCTGTCTTGTCATATGTTGTGTGCTCTATTGGGTATATTTTATTTTTATGTTATTTTGTATATATTTTCCTCGACTATCGATGCTAATATACTCCCTGGTGCTCCCCTACAACCTAAAATACACTCTGTACCATGTTTGAGGTCATCCATAAATCTTTACTTTATGGTAATATTTTGTACCATTTTTCTCAGACACTTTAAACTTGTGTATAGGGGGGAGGGGGGCATTGGGACAGCCTTAGCTGCAATTTCTGTAAAATTGCTATCTACCACAAAAACCGAACTGTCACCTACCATGTCACCGAAACAGACTGTTAAGTTACTTTTCGGTATAACCAGCAGCTGGCTTGGGGTCATGTCTAGGTGTGGTCTGGTTTTTCTATCTCTCCTTAATATTTCCCTGATAGTAATTTGTAATTGTTCCTTACTGAACCCTGGACCAAATTTATCCGTTGTTTACAATAATGTCCATGGTTTCCTAAATACACGCGATTTAGCATCAGGAACACCACCACTAAATATGACCAAGATACATGAATTCCATGGTTATATCTACAAACATAAGCCTCACATCATTATTCTAAACGAGACATGGCTGAAAAATTCCATTCTCAGTAATGAGGTGCTCCCTGACAAATACAAAGTATTTAGGCTTGACCGATCCTTAAGATCGCATCCAGTGGATGCAACCCAGCCCAAGAAATTCAGAAAAAACGGTGGTGGTGTTCTGATTGCCCATAGAACAGACATTGATATCTCGAGTCTAAAGTTCTCTAAAGTTAGTGTTCAAGCTGAATTATTATCCATCATAATTAAGACTCAGTGTGGAAGAAACTTTTGTATATCAACACATCAATTTTATAGAGTAGGAACGCTTGGCTTAGATAATTTTGAATCTTTCAAGAAACATTTTGTTACTTTAGCATCTGCCAGAAAATTGCAAAGGCACATTCTGGTAGGTGACTTTAATTTGGCTTCGATTTCCTGGCCAGATGGTCAGTCATCTTGCCAGCTACCTTCTAGCTTTGTAAATTTTCTCACTGATGACCTCGGACATACACAACTTATTAGCTCCCCTACTCACAAGTCAGGCAACACCTTAGATCTTGTGTTCACTAACATTCAAAACCTTATTAAGAATGTTAAAGTTTTAGATCAAAACGAAATGTGTATGTCCGACCACTTTTGTATCACATTTGACATTGATATTAAGACCAAGTATATTAAGCAGCCTAAAAGAAAGATCTTTAATTATAGTAAAGGTAATTTTAGGGGCCTGAATTCTGAGTTATTTAGCATCGATTGGGATAGTATATTTGAGTGTAATGATCCTTATCTTGCCTGGAGTCGATTCAGAGGAGTTCTCGGTGCAGCCTGTGACCGATGGATCCCTAAAAAGACCATCAAGTCTCAGTTCCAGCCCCCATGGTATGACTCCGAATGTGATCGTCTCCTACGAAATAAGGAGAAATGGAGAATAAGGCATAAGGGGAGCAACTCTGAGTCTCATAAACAAAAGTTTCGTGCATTTCGCACAAAATTTAAAAATTTGATGGACGAAAGAATGAGACTCAGTGTTGAGGATGACTCCGATGATGCTCTTATCTCCAAGAAATTCTGGACCTACGTTAAATCTAAATCAAAGTCAACCAGGATCCCTGAAACTGTCAAATATCATAATCGCTTTCGAAACAATCCATTTGATCAAGCTGCCCTTTTTAGTAGAGGCTCTTACGGGCAAAAAGACGTGTTTTCTGCTACGAGTTTAGAGACCTAACCGCTAATTGGACACAATAGTATGATGTCTAAGGATCGATAATATGTTAAGAAGTATAAATTTGGCCTTATTAGTCACGTGCTATACCAATGCGCGTTTTAAACTTTGACAGTCTATTACTCTAAGGCAAATAGAGTAATTATATTCATATTTTGTCAGCAATAAGATCACATTATTTTCTATTTAGTGTGAAAATATGAGCTAGAACGGACATAATCTCGCTGAGTTATAGCTGTTTGAAATTTATGATGAACGCGCGGGTGCCAATTGATAACAACTAAATGCTTTTGCGCGTAGTGCGCGTCGAAAATTTGGCAAAAACGCTTGCGGAGTGAAAATATTCAAACTTCGATAAAGTATATGAAGTGGGTACTTCTCGGAAAGGAAAAATTTAGGCAAACACGATGTAACTATTTTTGGGTTGATTTAATACAACTGCAAAAAATTATTCAGACTTCAAGCAAAAAAGTCAAAATTTTTACCACTTTTTTGGATTTTTACCTCAGAACAAATAGAGGGATTTGTTTTATTTTTATACAATCTTGTGCGGCTGTCTTTTAGCTATCTTTATGCAAGTTTTGCCGACATGCCAACAAAATTAACTTGCTCAAAATATCAAAAAACATGGTTTTTTGGCCTATTTTTGGCCCAAAAATCGGTTTTTTTGCGATTTTACCCCAGAACAATCAGTCCAATCATCTTGAAACCACTTTCAATCGATTCTACGGTCAAAAATACGTCTAGTAAGGTGTATCTGGGGTCCCTAACGTATCGAGCAGACAATGCCCGTAAGAGCCTCTACTATTTTAACAAATATTTTTATGAGCAGTTTTCTCAAGGAAAGAAAAATTTTTTTTTAGGAAAGAAAAATTTTTATTTACCACAAAACAATCAATACATAATGTTATATTCATAAATAAATTCAAATTTCAATTTCAAACACATATACAGTACGCCGCGCACACGGC